GAAGTGGGGGAAGGGATAGGGCCTGACTCTGGCGCGGAGGGGGGCGGCACAGCCCACCAAGCGACCATTGAGACCCTGGCGACCTGTGAGGCCCAGGCGGCCGGTGAGGCCCTGGTGACCGTTGAGGCCCAGGCGGCCGGTGAGGCCCAGGCGACCATTGAGACCCTGGCGGCCTGTGAGGCCCAGGCGGCCGGTGAGGCCCTGGTGACCATTGAGGCCCAGGCGACCATTGAGACCCTGGCGGCCTGTGAGGCCCAGGCGGCCGGTGAGGCCCAGGCGGCCGGTGAGGCCCAGGTCATAGAGATTGGGGTGGCAGAGGAGGTCGTGGGGCCCAAGACAAGCTCCCATTCCTTCTCCTCCTCGCCCTCCATCAAGCCAGCAGAGGAGGAAGAGGAGGAGGAGGAGGCTGGGGACCGGGTGCCACAGCGGCTCGTTGACGCCCGGCAGTTCCCCCTCATGAAATTCCGGTTCGCGTTCCTGGATCTGGTCAACTCGCTCCTGCAGCGCATGTATCACAGAGACGACCTCCTGATCCGCCCCTACTGGGACCACCAGCTGCTGCGATCCCGCGCTGCCCTCTCCAGCTCCAGCTCCAGCCCCAGCGCCAGCCCCAGCCCCAGCCCCGATCCCCGCCCTGGCCCCAGTGAGCTGCAGTTGCTCCACATGCCCCTGCGGTCCAGGGTAGGGGCACCGCGCCAGGGCGAGGGCGAGGGCGAGGCCGAGGCCGAGGGCGAGGGCGAGGAGGAAGAGGCGGTCGTCTCCATCCCCGAGCTGGAGGACCCAACGGGGTGCTGCAACCCCACCGCTGTGCTGACCTTGACCTCGGCCTTACCGGAACCCGCGAAGGAGACAGCACAGAGAGCGAAGAGCGGAGAGCAGAAGGTGGACTCCGAGGGTGAAGAATGGATAGAAGGTGGGGCGACAATGGCCAGGAGCGGGGACCGCGCGCCCTGGGGACTGGAAGCCGGAGACGGGCCCTGCTCCGTGCTGGCCAGGGTGGGGAAGCAGTGGGTCGGGCCCTCCTCCAATTTAAGGCTGTTCTTTTCTTAGTTACTTCAGTCCAACTGCTCCTTCTGAGGGGAAGAGTAGGATGCCGTTACTGGTCATGATTTGGGCTATTTTTTTTTTTT